AGAGTGTTTCAGGGGAGATAACATTTGTGGAGAGGATGGGAGAAAGAATGTATTAGTGTTTTTGCATCCATCTTGACCAGGGAGACTGTTGTCAGGCTCCAACATAGAAATAAATCAGAAGATTGGCCTCAGATTTGGAGGAACCTGTGTTGGGATTTCTGGTATTCCATAGCATAAATGACAAATAATTTGGAAAATGTGGTGATAAGTGACCCAGTTTGTGACAGTGTGATAACGCTAAATTTTCCAAAATGGAGAAGGTAAATTTACTGCATTCCAGGAAGTCTTGTTGCTGAACAATGCTAAGACGCAAATGTGACAGCAGCTTTTCCAGAGGATGCAGCAGAAACCACAAGTGATGGTATTTGGTTCTTTTGCACTGTTGCAAGGTGCAACATAATGAATCCTAATTTACTATGGACTTGTGTGTTCTCTGCCTTCTTTTCCTAGTCTCCTCCCTTACCACTGGAATGCTTTTGGGTTTGTGTCACCCTACAAAAACTTATATTGTATCCTAGTTATCTAAATCCTTGTACAAGAACTTTCATGTTCTTGCCATGTTATGCTTCCTCACCATGATACACCTCCAAAGTCCCATGACACTTGCTTTGCATCATTCTGACTTCACTGCTAGCTTTACTTTCTCATACTTCCAACCTAGTATTTTTTTAGACTGTTGAATAGGCTAATACTGAATTTCAACCTAAATGCATGTACTTTGCTGACAGCCAAAACAAAGGAATAAAATCCGAGTTCTCCCTGTTTCCCTAAATGAGGTGTTTATGAGATCACCTCTGTCTAGGATCCTATTTTCTCAAAACCCCTCACAAAGTCTAAATGTATTTGACGGCTCTGTACCACTGAATGTTTGAATCTATTGGCCAATTTCAGCTGAGTTTTGGGGAGGCTAGGGAATGAGGAGCACAAACGAAAGACCATAATCTCCTAAGTGTTGTTCTTTATAAAGTAGTCTAAAAGTAGTGTTTACGAGGCTGCCTTTGTTTCATCTTCTTTTTCAGGATTAATGCTGATTTAATGTTTCATAGTAAGCATTTTGTCTACCAGAAAATACTTTTCCTTCTGAAGAAATGTTAACTATTGTGGTACCTATTTGTTTATCCTGAAACAACTTTCTTTAATAGTCAACCATTCTGTATGCCAGGCTTTATCTGACCAAAAAAAATCAACAAAAATTTCATGGAAAAAATTATTGCTCTAAGGAATCAAATTGGTCATAGTCTAAGGTTTGTTCTTGATTTGCTATGTCTTTTGTTATTTCATACGTATTTGGAATAGTTTGTGAAGTTGCAAATTTCTTATTTACAAAATGACTGATTACATGCAGAAAAAACTTCAGTCTTTGGACGAAATGAGAATTGGACAAGCATTCAGACATGTTCTATGCAAATCATCTCAAAAAAGGAAAAGTTGACAACAAAGTGTAGGAAGTATAGCAATATATCTATTTGGCTGAATTGGAAACTCTGCATTTACTTCAGCCACAGAGAAAGAAAGCAGAAAGAGGAAACTAAATTAGATTAATAAGAACAGCCATAAAAAAATTATGCGAATATGAGAGTGGAAAGGCCACAGTGGTAGATAATAGGCTGCACCAACAAAGAGACATCAAGAATGATGATGATTCACTTGTAAACGCACCACTATTTCTCAGGGAGACCAAAGCAATTGGCCTGTTCCTTGCAGAAGAGGGGAAACTGCTGACACAGTGTGCCAAGGAAGTAGATCCCTGTTTAACACGTTTTTAACATTGATGTAAATATCAACAAGTTAAGCTGCAAGTTAGTGACCAGCAAAGGGAGTGTTAAGACTTCAGCTTAAAATACTGAGGGGATGGGAAAGGAAGGCAGGTAAAATATTTTGGAACAACCTGGTACAGATTACCTGAGAAACTTAAATAACTGTCTGAAGTGATGTTAAAACCATTAATGGCTGTTCTGGAGTATTCATGGACAACTGTGGGGATGAGTTAGAAAAAATGTCCTTGGAATACTGAAAAAGGGCAAGTCTTGAAAAAGGAGAAAATAGATCGATTATTTTTCCAGAACTTGATTTGTAAACATCAAAGAGCAAACAAACTTAAGTAGCAGACAACACAGATTTCTCAAGAAAAATTACACTCATATCATAGAAGGAATTTACAAGGATGAAGCAGTAGTCTTCTATATCCTGATGCCATTTTTTAAAATTTTTTTTACACCATTTCATATACTGTTCTAATAAGCTTTTATGTAAAATATGGTAAAACTGAATATAGTCTAGAATAAACACACAACTGTCTGGACATCTGTGTAGCTAGTAAACTGTTCGCAGTTAAAATTAGAGGAATTAGTGAATTTTACATGTTGGTATTCTTGAATGGGTTTTCTCTGAAGATTTTATTAATAGTCTAGATGATGTAGGATAGAGATGCTTGTTACATTTGCAGATGGACTTCAGGCACGTTGGGAAACAGAACTGAAATCCCCTATCTAGTCTTGGATGTGGCTTAGAGGGTATAACAAGGTTAATAGGTGTAAAATTCAGCGAGGAACACTAAAATTGTACTTTAGGAAAAATAGGTAATTTTAGAGGCAACAGAATCAGTTGTCTAGGGAGGCTGTAAAAGTTTTCTGTGAATGTTGAGCAGGTTAGATAGACTTGTAGAAAAATGTTATAGATATAAAAGGTGATGTGTTTAGCCAGGCAGTAAGTTTGCTAGCCTTTGAAGTCCTTTCCAGCCTCCTCTTTCTCTGCTGAAAGAATATGAGCTAACGATATATTAGATATACTATATATACTAACTATAGTTTCTTGATAGAAGTATTTTTTTTTCAATAAGTAGCACCAAAATATTTCGTACTTTGTTGGGTTTTTTTTTTTTTGTTGCTTGTTTTTATTTTTTTTAAAGAGGATTATGTCTGTAACTCTGAAATTTCTCTGCACCGGACAAGTATAATCTCTGCATCTTTTTCAGTACCTTGTTAGAAATAAGGTAACAGTACTACTCTGGGGGGAACTGAAAGAAGTCAGAGGCAAGGCAAATCACTTGATATCTTGTAGTTAGTAAAGAGTTACTTTATTACTCATTCTGCATTAGTGATAATTTGCAATTAAATGTGAAGTTTGCAGGAATCTGAAGCTTGCCTAGTGCTTCCTCATGTCATGTTTTCTGCTGTACATGTGGTGAACTAGACTCATGTCAGTGAAGAAGTTACTGACCTCTCCTTTTGAATATCTTCTTTGGGGGGTGATGTTACTTTTGGATCTTTTGTCAAGTCTAAATTATACATTTTTCTTTCTTAATACCTTTAATACTCTCTTGCTTAACTTCACTTGAGAAAGATGTGTGGGAGCTGAGAAAGCTTCTGCCTTCAGAAATACATAGCTAAGATTTTTTTAAAATGTAAAAACATGACTTTGTTTCATTTGGATACTTCAGATGTATCTGGAGAAAAGGATGACAGTTATTTCTCGGTTTTCAGCAAAGGTATAACAAGTTTTAATGACAAAGTGTTATTTTCTGTTCTTGCTACATAGTATCATTGTTTCTGTTAGCTGGAGTATTTTGTGACTTTAGTTTGAAGTAATGCTAGGTAGTAGCTGTCAAAACAAATACAAACGTTGTGATGTGGTCCTTATTTTTTATACATTAGTTTTCAGTAAGCAGTTATTCTGGATTATGACTGCAAAATTTACATAACTTACATGAAAGAGTGGTTTGATGCAGTACATTTTTTGAGCATCTCCTGATGGTTTTAAGAGAAAATGCAAAATTCCAAATTGTAAGCTGACTATTCATCTGGCTGTGCAAACAAGAAATGTTTTCAAACTGATGTCTTCTGTTGTAAAGAAAAAGACTTTCATTCTTTAAACCTGATGTACTCATGAAGCCCAGAATATAAATTTAACTTTACTTATGTTTCTGTCTGTACACAACTGTGTTGCTCATGGTAAAATTTTCTGTCCACGCATATGCCTAGTGCTGGTAAAAGCGTGCTTAATGGTGAAAGTACAGAGGAGAATTTGTTCCCCTCCACAAACCAGAAACTAGTAGTTGAATGGTGTTTTAAGTCATTCTCTTTTTATCTAAATACCATTTGGTAATAGATATTTTGCTTTCTAGTGATTGTTTAAAATAATTAGTTTTAAGTTAGGGAGGAAATGATACATAAATATTTTCCTTGCTAATCTTCAACTTTAACAATATAAATTCAGCTTGCTGCCCACGAGAGGGTGCTGTCTGCTAGCAGCTTGAAATGCAAAAATAAAGTAGTTCTGTTGTAGTTTAAGGTTGAATTATTGTGTTTATAATCCAAATTGCTTTAACAAGTATCTAGTGTTATTTGTATTAGTTTGTACATGAATTCACAAAATATTGAGAAAAAGTCTTAAAGTGATGTAATTATTTTGTGCTATTACAGTCATTCTCATGTACTTAGCTCTTGTTTACTACTTTTCCCTCAGATTTCAGAGTACAAAAGAGGTAAACTTTGGTCTGTTTCACAGAGTGGAGATGTGAAAGAAATGACTCTCCAGAGGTTAATCAGGCCTGTGACAGAGAAGCTAAGACTTTTGTATTGCAACTTCAGATTAGGCTGCACCAAACTTGATATTGAGATATTTAGCACTTCAGTAGAAGCACCACTGTAGAGAAATATATGCATATACCTAAAGGAGGATATTGCTAGCAAGACAGCAGGTCAGTTACCTGCTGGAGTACTGGAGTACTCACTGCTATAACTGTAGTTATTTTCTATGCCGCTCTAAATCTTACTTAATCAAATAAGTTGTGTTCCCTGTTCTTTCTGCCCCATACTCTATTTAGCTTTCTTGCCATTGTTACCTTAATATGTGGTAAAAGACACACTGATTTTCTGCAGGGTGGTTTTTTTTCCTTTTGAAGGTATCAGAACGGATAGAGAAAAGACTTCAGGAGATAGAACAAGAAATGCGTGCTGAAAGACAGCTTGTAGAAAGGCGCCAGGACCAACTGGGACATATGTCTCTTCAGTTACAAGAGGTATGCAAATGAAAACTTGCTGTGTGTTCAGGATTAAGTTAAGAACATGCTGCATTTGTGAGCCTGTACCTGTCAAACTTGCAAAGTGCTCATATCTTTGACACATTCTTTTAACTGTATCAGTCCAACTCTGCTTGTTTTGGTGACCAGATGATAAGAAGTACAGTGTCTGTTCTTCATGGTACTGTCTTGTCTATGTTTAGAACTTTCTGGTAACTGGCACAAACATTCTTTAAAAGAACTCACCCCCTATGCCCTGCCTCGAACTCCAAACAAACAAAAGCAAGTAATTATCTGAGTTATATAAATTAAAACATTTTGTTTTCTAAAACGTAAACTTTGCTTGCAGCGAGCAGTTTATTTTTAATTTACTTCAACAAGAAATCAAATGCACTGTAGTGGCCAGGCAGCTTTTCATTGCTTTTCAAATAGTTTCGTTCAACAGTATCTGATGAAGCATAAAATATTGTTTAGGAGACCAATACAAATATTTGTTATGAATTAAAATTGGAGGCAGCTAGTAGCTTTTTTCTGCTAGTTTTAGGAAATGTATGAAAAATACATCTCTCTCTGATTTAACATAGGGTAACTTTTAATTTCACTTCCCTTAAGGTATGATTCGCAGTATTATTTCTAACTATGCAATAGAATACTAGAGTTGAGGAAAAAATGTGGAATTCCTTGTTTTTCACTTTTAATATTAGTGACAGTATATATGCTTTTTGGAAGGCAGTTGTTTTATACTGTGCAGTGATACTGAGGAACCTTTATTTAGATTGACACTTTGCATTTCATGTAAGGCTAGAGATTCTTCAAAGAGGTCATATTAAGAAGACAAGATGCTCTTTTTGATGTAGATAAAAAGTAATGTTTATCAAAATGCTTGTAGTGCTTCTGCTAGTATTTCAAAAAGAGTTACTGTTTCATTTTTCCCCCCTTATTGATGTCCTAGCAGGTGAAAAGAGTGCTTAGTTACACTTTTCATTGCTCTTTAATGTACCTACATCCATTTCTAGATTCTTCAATTGTGCCTTCATAGACTCCTGGAATGGTTTGGTTGGAAGGGACCTTAAAGATCATCTAGTTCCAATCCCCCTGCCGTGGGCAGGGACACCTTCCACTAGACCAGGTTGCTCAGAGCCTCATCCAGTCCTTCAGTCTGGTAGAGGGATGCTTAATGATATGAGTTGGTGTCATTTAATAATGTTATCTGCAGATTGGAACAGTCTTTTTTTAATCTTTTTAAAGGGATAATGACTTGTATCTGTAAAGATACATTGACACTGCCATGGTTTCCTTAGAAGGGAAAACTTGAATTCAAGTGAATGAATTCAGGTGTATTTCAAAGACTTTTATATGATTGGCTATGTGATCATGAACCCTCAATCTTGATACCTTTTTTCCTAGTAGCTCATCTTTTGAATTTCATGCAAACGGAATATGAAATACTAAGTACTTCCCCAATCTTCTGTTCCCCTAAGCTATCCACCTGCAGATGAAGATGTTTTAATTCTTACTCCTCCAAATTCTATTTTGTTCTGTGCATATTTTTCCTGAGAAGCCCCTTTGTATTTAAAAGATTTTTTGATACCACTGTTCAAAACTTTGATATATAGTCCTCATTCTCAGTTTACAGGAAAGCTCAACACTCAACACCAATTAGTCTGCTTGGTAAACTTTTACTATTAGGAATTTACCCAAGTCAAGATTCACAGCCAATCCTGACTGGAACAGGCTTATTCTATATGCCATACATTCATAGCTGCTGCTACTTGGAGGAGAATCATGTTCTTGGTGGTTATCTTCACTCTATCAAGCAGGGGCTCATATCTCCAAATCATCCTACTGGATGGCTGATCTCAGTCATGACTCTGGATTTCTTGAACTGGACTCTTGTCACTCTATTTGGAAATCCTAATAAAACATAGATTACTCCTGTTGCAATGAATTACGGATTTTTCAGGAGCTTCTAACTCTAACATGCAAAATAGAACGTGGTGGTGTCAGATGACAAGTGTAGAAGGGAGCTGCTTACAATGAGTATTGGGCAATCTTTCTTCGACAGATTACAGAGGAATCTGGAGACAGTACCGCCCTTGAACCACAGACTTCCATTACACTCCTAGTAGCAAAACCAGTATGTCCTCATCCTGCTACTTCTCCTCTCATAGCTGTCTTAACATCTTGGAGAACATCTTTGTGACAGAGTTGCAACTTCCTACATGTCAGATGTCTTGAAACTCCAATATTGCTAAGGTCCTTAGATCTCAGTCCCTTATTGCAAGCTTCTATCCAGCTGTCCCATCTTCCTTCCCCATTGAACATCCATGTTAATTTGTCCTTCTCTAGGTAGAAAATGGTCTCGCTTCTGGATGGTGTTTGTATTTGTAAGGAATAGTTCAACATCTCTTGAACAGTTGGCTGAGCTTTTTAGCTCTCATATTGGCAAATTGGACCACCTTGTGCCCTGTCTTTTGAAAAACGCTTGTTTTTGAGAGCAAAATGGTCTGGATCCTGTACACGCTGCCTCTCTGTGTACTATCATCCTGAGAGGTTGCTGTGTGGGAAAGCTTTGTGAAGAAAATTGCTTTGTTATGGAATATCGATTATAGAAGAAATAGGAATATGAGAGTATCTAAGGAGACAAAAAGTTTAGAACTGGTCTAATCTCAAATTAAAAACAAACAAGAAAAAATGCCACCACCAAAACAGTCTGAGAATTGGGTGTAGCAGATTTGAGTTTTTGAGCTTCTAGTTTTTGATTTTTCAAAATCTTTTCTTTGTATTTGGTGTTTCAGATGAATAGATTCAGGGTGGCAAACCAAATGGAATGAATAATGTAATTTATGACTATGAAGTATTTAAAATTTATGAATATGAGTAGTTAAAGGTTGTTATTTCAACAATGTATTTTCAGGCCAATTAGTAGTTGGCTTGTTGATTTGTTCATTACTTGCATCAATGTAATTTGTATTTTGCTAAGGTATTCTTTATTCTGTACTATAGGCAAAATTAAATTTGGCTTTAAAGATCTCTGAGCAAAGATGTTAGAAAAACTTGATAGTTTACACCATTTTTTAAATGATTTTTTTTTAAAAAAATCCTATTTTCTAAGTAGGCAATTTCAGTCTACAAGATAATTATTTTTTAAAAAAATAAATAAAATAATAAAATCCCTGATAAGAATCATTGGATTTTGTGTAAAATGTCTGATGTCGCTTAACTTTTTTCTTACTGATCACCCATCACTTGGTGGTAGTATTTGCTACAGAGATTGCTTGACAGGTGAGAGGATTTTCAGGAACACAGATTCTCAGACTCCAATGTGGAAGCTTACTTATTTCTTGACTGCCTTACAGTTGCAGCGTGACTACATTGTACATTAAGAACAGAAACTTCTTAACACAATACATCACATTGTTGATTTTCTTCCTTATTGTGAGATATGTTCTTTCATGCCGCTTTGATACTCGGCTATTGCAGATGCTATTCTCAAGTCTGCAAGAGTCTAATCAGTGCATTCCTTTGATCTCTCATGGAATATACAGAATGATGCTGGGGACCAGCTACTCAAAAAGGTGGATCTCTTCATTCAGTACATCTGTACAAGTGTGTACTCACTCAGTAGGTGCAAATGCTCATAATGAACACAATCAACAGAGCCTTTTTCTGCAGCTTGACTCTCTAAGCAACTGTTCCTCTTGTGGTGGCTTATATCTGGCCTGAAGTATCAGGAGTATCAGAAGCAGCAGCCAAGCTGCTTGCCAGTAAATGACATGTCCTCCACTGGTGAAGCATGAACATGTTTAGGGGTAAACCTGAGCCAGTAAACTCTAATAAATATCTGTGCTCGTTCTTTGCAAGACAGCCTGGTCATGATGGTAGCAATTTAGGTTTCATTTTTCTAATTTTCTTTAATGATACTTGTCTGCAATAATGATACTAACCTGGATAGTGACAGTCTTGGAATTTTTTGGTCCCTCCTCCGTTTGGAGTGGAGTGCTTGGATTCACCCATGTAAATATGCATACAGTCAGTCTCTTAAGAACAGAACGTTGCTAATCACAAACCTGAATTTCTTTGAGGAGTGATAGCCATTTGCCCAGTTGCCCCTTGTCTTCTATTGCGCCTCATCTTCTGTTGCCCCTTTCTGTTAGTAACTCTGGGATTGAGGACTGTGAGGACACAGCCCTTCATTTGTACAAATATAACATGTTGGAGGAGAGGGAACGGTAGGCATGCCTCCTGTAAATACTGATTAGGAGAGAAAGCTTTCCATCTGAGAGCTGGGAAGTGCATGTGGACACTATGTACTGAGGAATGTATTGGGAACTAGTCTTTACAACATATAAATGGTGGTGTGGTATAGGGCGTGGTGTATATCTCTGTGGCTTAAGTTACTGTTTGTTAGAAAGAATGTACTTGAATTGCTTTGTGTACTTCTGCATATCCTAGTGAGAATAAAGTAAATAACAATTGCAGCAAAATATTTAGTTATTTGGATGAAGCATGTTTCTACATAATTTTTAAGAGCTTTTTACTTTGTTATTCTGTTTCTTGTCCTTTGTAATTTGAATTATTAGTTAGATGGACTCTTAGCTCTGTCAGTGGCCTCAGTCTTGTGGTGATCATTGTGTGGATGTAATGTTCTATTAAAGTCTCTTTCTGTCCTCTTTTATTTCTCCAAGATGCTTCCCAAGTAACATTACTGGAAGGGAGTGTAAGGTTTGGACTGAGTTCTGAAATCCTTTCATTTAATATGGCTTGAATAATTTACAAAGAAATGCTATTTAAAGCATTTTTAGCTATTTAATGAGGCAATATTTTCATTAGTTTGTCTGTTATACGTTTCAAACCAGACAAAATCCAATTTGACTTTTGAATTTGATCAGTAGTTGCTTTAATTAAGAAATCTTGTGAGATTTAAATGTTAATAGTTATTTTTAAGGAAAGTGCAGTGCCCATAACTGACCACTACTTGTCAGTATCCTACTGTCTTA